CGGGGTAGCCATCAAGGAAGCAATAGAACTTATGCCCCGCAAGTCTCTCAAGCATTTGGTCAATGAAGGGTAAGGGAAAGAAATCCTTTCTAGTTACCGCGTTGAGGCGCCGGTAATTTATACATACTCTCCATCCATTTTGAATTCGGGTGGGCATAAGTTCTCCATGTTTGTTCTCCACCACCGTGACTCCGGTCTTCTTGGGAACAACTTGGGTTGGACTAACCCACTTGCTATCGGATATGGGGAAGATTATCCCCATTTGGAGAAGCTTGATGACCTCCTTTTTTACCACCTCCATCATAGGTGGGTTCAATCTCCGTTGTGGTTGGCGCACCGGCTTGGCTTCATCCTCCATCAAGATGCGGTGCATGCAAGTAGATGGACTAATGCCTTTGATGTCGGCTATAGTCCATTTGGTTGCAAGTTTGTGCTCTTTAAGCACCGCAATTAACTTCTCTTCTTGATCTCCGGTCAATTTGTTTGAGATTATGACCGGCAATGTTTCTTTTTCTCCCAAGAACACATATTTCAAGTGTTTTGGGAGTGGCTTTATCTCAACATCGGGGGCCTGCAAAATGGAAGGCAAAGGCTTTTCCTCGGGGATGGTTAGTGGAAATGCTCTTGACCCCGGTGGCATAAGTGGAAGTTGGAAATGGTTATCCAACTCCACTATCATGGCTTGCATATTGGGGGTCAAAGCAAGTTCTAAAGAATTTTCCCCGAGGTCATTCTCAATCACACTTAGTAGTTCATCCTCCCCATTCATTTCAAAAGTGTTTTGCACAAGGGGATCAATAATATCAATGGCAAATAGAGAATGATTTTCATTTGGGTATTTCATGGAGTCATAAATATTGAATTCAACTTTATCTCCATCAAATTCCATTGTTAAAGATCCGCTAAAAACATCAATTTTAGCTCTAGCGGTCTTTAAAAATGGCCTTCCTAAAAGGATAGGAACCGCATTCTTATCATTTTCCATTTCCAAAACATAAAAGTCGGCGGGAAAGATCAAATTGTCTACCATAACTAGCACGTCTTCGACAATACCCCTAGGGTAGGCATTTGATCTATCCGCAAGTTGAATAACTACTCTGGTTTCATTTAGAGGGCCAAGTTCAAGTGATTTATACAACGAGTAAGGGATGACATTAATCGACGCTCCCAAATCTAACATGGCCTTTGAAAACGTAGTACCTTCCAACTTACAAGGTATAGTGAACATGCCCGGGTCATTGTATTTCTTTGGAAGTTTCTTTTGGAAAACTGCCGAAACACGTTCACTAACTTGGACTTTTTGTTTTCCATTGAGCCTATGCATCCTTTTTATTGTGCATAGCTCTTTGAAAAATTTGGCAAATCTAGGAACACCTTTTATTAAGTTAAGAAGAGGAATATTTACCTCACATTTGGAGAATGTCTTGGTGTAGACTTATCACACTCCGTTCCAGAAGAACCACTCTGAGATATTAGTGGTAGAGAAATAATTATTAATGTTAACCCATTTTCCCTGTAATATCAAAGGTGAAAATAGTAATATTTTACACCTTCTCTACGTCTTGATAATCTTTTGTAAGATGTTCCTTCTCCTTGGTTGCATAGATAGCTAGAATTGATGGGTCTCAAATCATACATACGACTCCCAACGATAGTGTGCCTCTATAGGAACTTTCTTCAGCCCTTTTCTTAAGATGGATTTTAAACAATTCCCTTTGGTCTACCAAGCTTTCAATGTCCTCGGGGAATCTGTTTGGGTCTCCCATTTTCTGTAATTATTCAAAGTTAATTACCCTTACAAATATAGTATCCTGTGATTACTTCAAACTATGAGTTTCAACTATTCATGGTAATCTATAATCATCAAGCCTACATATTTAATACCTTTTCCACCTCTCTTCTTAAGGTTGATGAAGTTTTTTCAAGAGTATCTATGCATTGTTTGTCCCACAAAACAAAGGTCCCATGACCAGTGTCATCCATGATGCAGACAGTGACATTGTACCTAGATAGATGTTTTTAGATAATCCATAACTTGAATCAATATTTGTATATGCATATAAATAGTAGTTTTGTAAAAAAACCGGAAGAAGATTTGGAAAATTTGTGTGTATGTTTCTACACAAACCGAAGGTCTCAACCTCCTTATATACAAACGTGCGAATAAGTCTGCTAAGGAACGTATCTCCCTGCGCGAGACTTTAGGAGAAGAAAAGGAAAGAAATAAAAGTAGATACAATTCCTAATCTACTTCTACCACTACGTACATGTTAAACAAATGTTACATAAAAATAATGTACATAAAATAATGTGAGACTAACACCCCCCTTCAAGATGGAGCATGGGGGTCACAAATGCCCATCTTGCCAAGTAGATAAGAGAACTGTTGAGCGCCAAGGGCCTTAGTTAGTAAGTCTGCAGGTTGTTCAGTGGTAGGAGTGTAGGCCGGGGTGACAGTTCCAGCTTGAATGTGATCACGGATAAAATGACAGTCCAGCTCAATGTGTTTGGTTCGTTCGTGATAGACCGGATTGGAGGCAATATGAAGCGCGGCCTGATTATCACAATAGAGCCGAGCCGGACCGGTAGTGTTCACCCCGAGTGAGCGAAGAAGATTGCGGAGCCAAATAAGTTCACAAGTCAAAGAGGCCATGGACCGGTATTCAGCCTCTGCAGATGAGCGGGAAACTGTGGCCTGTTTCTTTGTACGCCATGATATGGGAGAGAATCCCAGAGACACGAAATAGCCGGTTACAGATCGACGAGTGACAGGACAGCTAGCCCAGTCAGCATCACAGTAACCTTGGAGGGAGAGGGGCGAATCGGATCGTAAAAGAATTCCCTGTCCCGGCCGACCTTTGAGATATCGAATAACCCGAAGTATTGCTTCCCAATGCGCCATCCTGGGTTTTTGCATAAACTGGGAGAGAACATGAACAGAATATGAAATGTCTGGCCGGGTCAGTGTCAGATAAATTAGTTTCCCAACCAATCTCCGGTAGCGCTCTGGGTCAGAAAAATAGGCGCCAGAATCAGATTGCAAATGATGATTTTGCACCATAGGAAAAGCAACCGGTTTGCAACCGGACAACCCCGTCTCAGCTAGAATGTCAAGTACATATTTCCGTTGACAAAGGAAAATTCCTGTCGGATTCCGGGCGACCTCAATACCAAGAAAGTATTTCATTACACCTAAATCCTTAACAGGAAAGGTGTTGGCTAGATACGATTTGAACTGGGCTATCATGGTGTGATCATTGCCGGTTATGAGCAGATCGTCAACATAAATGAGTACACAAAGAATGCGGTGACCCCTCTGGATAGTAAACAAGGAGTAATCAGCGTGAGACTGTGTAAACCCATAATCACGCAAGGAGGCAGTTAGTTTAGAGAACCAACACCTCGGTGCCTGACGCAAACCATAGAGCGAGCGAAGTAACCGACATACCTTCCCAGGGGATGAGGCCGAATATCCCTGGGGGGGTGCATATATACCTCTTCGCGAAGATCTCCATGGAGGAAAGCATTGTCTACATCCATCTGATGCAGTTCCCAATGACAAGATGCTGCAACAGCCAAAATGGTACGTACCGTGACCATTTTAGCCACAGGGGCAAAAGTCTCGCTGTAATCAACACCCTGTACTTGCCGATTCCCACAGACCACCAGTCTTGCCTTATAGCGTTCTACTGATCCATCACTTTTGTACTTGATTTTGTACACCCATTTGCAATAAATAGCTTTCTTTCCGGGAGGTAAATCTCGGATCTCCCACGTACCGGTGCGTTCAAGAGCTTGAATTTCACGACTCATAGCCTCCCTCCATTGTGGATCACGAACTGCTTCCCCAAAGCTAGTGGGTTCCTTGGTTGAGGAAATAGCTGCAAGAAAGGCTCGGTGCGGAACCGAAAAATGATCATATTTTATATAATGAGATAGTGAATAAGGAGTACCTGATTCAGCCGTAGGAGAAGGCGTGACAACGGGGGGTGAGTTTATTTGAACTGAGTTCATCCGCACTTCGTAGTCCTTATGCCATGTGGGTGCCTTACGAGGACGCTCACTCCTTCTATTCGGTCTGAGTTCGCTGTTGGTTCCAGGCTCCACACCACCTCCGTTTGTTTCTTCAACGGTGTTGGTCAAAGGAGTATGGGGGTCCGCATGGTGCTGTGTAGACGTGAGCCCTTCCTCACTGCCTGAACCATTTTCATGATGACTTTCTCCTGCTTCTTCACACGTGTTTCCTGTGTCCTCAACTTCATCCACGTGCATAAAACATTCCCATGCATGCAAAGGAGATCCTGCCTGGTTATGTGTTTCGGCCATAGACTCTTTAACCGCAAAAGGAAATTCGTTCTCCACGAATTTAACATCTCGGGATATAAAAAAACGCTTATTGTGCAAGTCATAAACTTTCCATCCCTTTTGAGAGTAGGCATATCCTAAAAAAACACATCTAACACCGCGTGCCCCAAACTTATCACCTCTATTGTTTGTCTCGTGTGCATAGCACAAACAACCAAAGACACGCAATTGACTATACAACGGTAGTTTGTTATATAGTAACTCGTAAGGGCTTTTATTATTTATCACAGGCGAAGGAAGACGATTGATTAAATACCCCGCCGTCAGGACACATTCTCCCCAGAAATCAATGGGTAAGTTTGCATGAAAGCGTAAAGTTCTAGCCATTTCCAAAATATGTCTATGCTTTCGTTCCACACGTCCATTTTGTTGAGGGGTGTACACACAAGATGTTTGAAAAATTATCCCATTTGTCACAAAATATTCCCTGAGACTCACAAATTCTTTGCCATTGTCACTTCTCACAATTTTCACATTTTTGTTAAATTGTCGATTAGCCATGGCAAAAAATTGTTTAAGAATATTTTTCACTTCACCCTTTTCACGCACTAGATGAACCCACACTGCCCTAGAGTAATCATCCACAATAGTTAAAAAATAACGGGCACCACAAGTAGACAAAACGCGGTAAGGACCCCAAATGTCACAGTGAATTAACTCAAATGATTCAACAGCTCTAGCACTACTCGCAACAAAACTTTCACGCGTGTGTTTGCCTCTCATACATGCATCACACGTTTTATTTTGTACGGAATTCAACAAACTTTTATTTAAACAACCAGATAAACGTAATACTTTTATTGACGGGTGTCCCAACCTTGAGTGCCAAAAATCTCCCGAATCCAAACTGCTCACTGCATTAGCTCGTGCTCCGTCCAGACCCCGGAAATAATAAACTCCCCCGCGTCGTTCACCCACTCCAATCGGCATCCTCGTAGGTAGGTCCTGTATTACACACAAGTCATTAGTAAAAAATATATCACATTTTCGATCATCAATTAATTTTCCCAAAGATATTAAGTTGCATTTCAGTCCAGGAACAAGCAAAACATTTTTTAATTTCAAATTTCCACTAATTGCATTTGATCCCACGTGTGTTGCCTTGGTGATTTCACCATTCGGCAATGTCACTCCCACCGGTGCTATGCATGCAATATCCGTCAATACTCCTTTGGTTCCAGTCATGTGATACGACGCTCCGGAGTCAAGAAGCCAGTCATTATGAATTTTCATACCTGAGATTTTATCCTCCAAAGCAGGAATCTTACAGTTCTCCATCATTTTAAGGAAGGTCTGCCATTGTGCTTCGGTAAATCCCGGTTTGTGCACTGCCTCTGTTCGCTGAGTTGGAGAACTATCGGGCTGAATATCTCCGACATGCATAGCTTGAGCTCCACCCCGGCCAGTCCCTCGTCCAGTTCCCCCACGTCCCGAGCTTCCTCCACGACTCGGTCCTCCACGTGTTCTGCCTCCACGAGCTCGGCCAGGATTTTCATGCCACCAGTCCGGGTAAATCCCGGTTCGACGGAAACAGTTTTCAATTTCATGTCCGGGCTTGTGGCAATAACTACACTTGCCTCGTTCTTCTTTTCCAGCTCCAGGTCCGGCAGGTCCAGTGCGCGCAGCAAAAACCACTGCCTCGCCCTTGTCCTCCCGTCCACGCATCAGGTTTTGATGACGTTCCTCCTGAATCACCATGTGATATACTTTGGTCAAAGAAGGCAGGTTGTCCGTCCCAAGCACATTAGAACGCAAGTTGCCGTAAGTTTCACTATCAAGACCCATTAGAAAGTCATGTATTTTTTCGGATTCAACGTGCTTGATGAATAACTTCTTGAGGTCACAAGTGCACCCGTTGCACTTACATTGAGGAAAGTTTCGTATCCCGTCATACTCCTCCCATAGAGTTTGAAGCTGGCCGAAGTATATCGTAATTGGCTGTCCATGTTGCTTGCAACTCCGAATGAGTTCTTTCAATTCATAGGTTCGCATAGCATCTCCCACAGAGAAACGAGCGTCAAGATCGGTCCAGAGGTCATGCGCACTCTCCATATAAGCAAGATTGCTTCTTAACAATGGATCCACCGAAGTCATTATCCAACCGACCGCCATGGAATTGACGGTCAGCCAGTCTTCCAAATCCTTCGGAATTGTCACGGGTCGTTCGATAGTTCCGTCAAGAAAACCCATCTTCCGCTTAGCGCGGAAGGCGTTCTTCATGGCCGTAGCCCACTCGCGATAATTATTCTCCCCTTTGAGAATGACCGTGCATATCATCATACCGGGATGATCAGAACTGGATAAAAAATATGGTGACGACGGATCATTTATTTTCCGCCGTTCCACCTGTTCCCGGTGACCATCACCACTTCCCGGCATGGTTTCTCCGGCCATTTTGTCGACGTCCGCGAGTGTTCGGTCGGTCCCGAATCACTGCTCTGATACCATGTAAAAAAACCGGAAGAAGATTTGGAAAATTTGTGTGTATGTTTCTACACAAACCGAAGGTCTCAACCTCCTTATATACAAACGTGCGAATAAGTCTGCTAAGGAACGTATCTCCCTGCGCGAGACTTTAGGAGAAGAAAAGGAAAGAAATAAAAGTAGATACAATTCCTAATCTACTTCTACCACTACGTACATGTTAAACAAATGTTACATAAAAATAATGTACATAAAATAATGTACATGTTTCTACACAAACCGAAGGTCTCAACCTCCTTATATACAAACGTGCGAATAAGTCTGCTAAGGAACGTATCTCCCTGCGCGAGACTTTAGGAGAAGAAAAGGAAAGAAATAAAAGTAGATACAATTCCTAATCTACTTCTACCACTACGTACATGTTAAACAAATGTTACATAAAAATAATGTACATAAAATAATGTGAGACTAACAAGTTTAAAATAGTAAAGAAGCATGTTTAGAAGATGACCTATACACTCCCTCGGCAAGGGTAATGTTGCATGTTGCACACTTAAACCTTTCTTCATCTTGTAGCAACTTTCTGTTACATCTGTTACAGCTCAAGTAACACCAATCCCTAAAGTTTTTGATGAATACAATTTCTCCTAGCAGTCAATAAATCCGGTTCTAAATATTTATATATAACATAAAAATTAGTTAAATAACGTTAGGATAAATCTATGTTCTTGCAAATAAAGACCAAGGAGTACCTCAGTTTCACTCATTAGGTCCTTCATTGTTGTTATCTTCACCCTCCCACTAAAGGGCATCAAGCTTGCTGCCCTCACCAATAGAGTTTTGAGTGAAGTTTGTTACAGTCACATTGTCTTCATTGTGTGACGGAAACCGGCCTAGATGGTATTCCCATAGTGTCAACGACCCTTTAAACAAGGTACAGTTTGAAATTTAGATTTTGTAGATACTTACTGGTTTCTAAACTACACAATCTCTGTTGTGTTTCCATTTAAAATTAGTTTGGAAATGTCATAGGAGGAAGAAACTAAATTCCACTATTAGAATATTCATTAAATGCTGCGGTTGATTTAATATATTTGCTACGTATTTTGACCGAAGCAAATGCGGGAGGAGCAATAAGTGCCAATTCACAATTGAGGCGGTTACAAACCGCATAAAATACTAGGGGTACACAAGTTGTACACAACTTGTACATACAATGTCGGTCACAGACAATTGGTACGTAGTTGCCTGTGACCACAGACAAGAGTTGTCTGTGTACACAGACAATTTTGTCTGTCTTCACAGATCGACATTTACTTTTTTGTAAAAAGTATGCTGAGAGCCGCCTGACACTAACAAGTACTTTTTACAAAAAAGTAAATGTCTGTGGAGACAGACAAAATTTGTCTGTGTACACAGACAACTCTTGTCTGTGGTCACAGACAACTCCGTACCAATTGTCTGTGACCGATTTTGTGTGGACACCTTGTGTACAAACCGCAGCAACTGTGTTTACTTTAAATAATGAATAATAGTATTTGCTACGGTCACTCACACTAAACAACCGCAGCAGCATCTTCTTTTCTTTTTTGCTTACTAATATAATATTATTATTTTTATATGAAAATTACAAAGATCAATAAAACAATCACATTGCAGCGATTTAACATTACAGCCGTTTTCCCAACACAAGTATACAACCCAACAGAATCATAGGAAGTGCCCCAAGTAGGTAGCTCTTTTTTACAACATATACTGGCATAATTATACAAAAGTGTAGAAGTTGGTACTTGTACACCAACAGCACACTAAAACCTCAATTCTATTTTCTAAACAAGGAAAAAACAATACGAACAACATGGTGCTGAACTACCAGAATAAAATCATCCAGATAAGGCTATACTTTACAAGTAATCATCACAAAAATATTCCAGCTATTTCAATTGTTGCGAACTTCAGCAATATGATCATCACACAATGACTTTAATTGATTGCTACCCAGCATAATGTAAACCTGAAGAATTTCAATATACACAAATAATAGCATTAAATGATCATGAATTTCAATTGAAGTTGGAACACGTTAATATACTTGTACTTTGACAGGTAAAAGTATAGTTACTTGTTAATCAATTATATTGGGTTCAATTATAAGAGTTTCATTCTTAATTACATTGATTTTACTTTAATATAGTATTAGGTAACTTGATTAGTTTCAATCATCCTACCCTTTTATCTCGTTACACAACCTGTGGTGACTAAAAGGCTTTATTTGTAGTTTCTAAACAACATTCTCTAGTAGTGACTAAAAGGCTTTTATTCCTAGTTTCTACTTGGCTTTTGATGATTTGACCCATTTATAAGAATATCTCTATTGAAAATTAAACATCTATACTACGTAAAAGGTCATGGAACCATTTAAAAAAGTTTTTTGAAGTAAAACTCTTCTCTATTTTACTTTTGTTTCTATTTTGAGATACATATAACGTAGTAAAGTTTTTATCACAAATTAATATGAAGTACGGGGTATATTGTAACAAAAAAAAAATAAAAAATGTATTAATGTAAGAATATCTTTTAATGCAAAATTTGTCTCCATCCACATACAAAATATTAGCTGATTGAAGGTATTCATAGGACAAAATATGTCTAAGTGAATAAAGTGCTGCAATAAACCAACAAATAATTAACTGCTCCTAAAGTTAATTTGGATTAGTGCAGCTCTAGGAAGCACGGAAATTCTCCATGGCTCACGTTTCGAAAACTCGGAAGCGTTTCGGAAACTCGGAAACTTCAAATTCCCGTTTCGGGGCTGTTTCCGTAATCAAGAAAAATTTTGAAACCCGTTTCACTACGTTTCGGAAACCTCGGATTCCAATTTTTTTTTTCTTTTTCAAAAGATTCTGTGGTGGAAAATAATTTTTTATCGTGAATTTTTGTGGTATTTCTTAGCGGCAACACTTGTTACATTTCGTAACGCAATGTATTGCTAGAAATGTATTACTCCGTACATTTTATGTTTCATTATGTACTAATTAATATGAAATAATATCTAAATTCGAACATGTAGAGTGATTTTATTATTTGGTTACTAATTTACTAAACAAATTATATTAAGAAAGCATGTGCATATGGAAAAGCTTGTGTACATATACTAAAAAATATTTATAAATATATCCTTATATTTTATAATATTTACGCGTTTCCCCCACGTTTCGTGTCCTATATTTTTTTAGAAATTACGTTTCTCGCGTTTCCCGTTTCCCGTTTCCGTGCTACTTAGGTGCACCTCTTAAGTTAATAACAATCGTGTGTTTAAATGTTCGTACCCAGATAGTGTACCTTGATTTGACATTATTATAGTCCACTTGCAATTCATCTATGCTGCACTTCACAAAAAAGGAGAGAAATGATATGTATTATAGCATATGAAAAATACCAGGGAAGAGTTTTTTTTTTACTCCAGGGGCGTCCTGGGGAGGGGCTGGGGGAGCCTGGAGTAATCTAGGCTGAAACTCACAGCCTATACAATTGCGAACCCGTCATAGCATTGAGATCCGTTTCAAACCCCGCTTTTTGGTCCGGTACCATGTCGGTTCGGTTCGGTACCATGCCGGTTCGGTATTTTTGTCCACCCCTACATTTAATTTCAATAAAGAGAATTTAACTTTAACATTGGTATGACAAAAAATATTGACATTGCATGTCAATTTGGGATGAAATGAGTATGAAAATTGATAAATTGTGTGCATTTTTGGAGGAAGTGACATTGTTTGGTATTGGTATGGCATGATACCGTCCCTTTTCAAAATTGAACCGTACCGAACGGGTTTAGGTCTTAAACCAAAATGAACCGTTTGAATAGTCACGGTACGGCCAAATTTTGGACCAAACCGGACCGTGCCCACCTCTAATTAAATGCACTTTATTGAGCCCCAAAAAAAAGGACTTTGTGGAGCAAAAAAGACAACCAAGCCATTTAGCATGACCCGACCCGCCAATGGAGCAAGTGTTTGGGGCGAAAAATGGCCTCAATTCTCCTGCTTTTGTATAAAGAAAGGTATTCGAATGCAACAAATAATAAAATGTTCGAGTCATGGAGTACGGCAGATTATATCGTGCAACCGGGGCACCATGAGGATGGTGCACCCGGTTGCAAAACGACGGAGTATTGATGAGGTCTGCTTTCTTTATTTTTATCCTTTGTTTTTAAAAAATGGTAATAACTTTTTTATTTTTGATCCGATTTTTATAAAATTTATATCAACATTTTTTATTTTTAATGATCTTTCAAATGAGACCAATATTGCTTATGTAATTTTAAGAAATTATCAAACTATTATATTAATGTGTATTGGATTATAAGGAAAACTAAACTAAATTTAATACAGAAAAATAATTGTGTAAACCACAATTTATCTTAAAATAGTGTATATAAAAATTTATTGTATTAGGTATGTATACATGTGAGTTACATATTTTTATATGTGAAGTTACATATTTTTACACGTAAAGTTACATATTTATACACGCGAGTTACATATATATACACACGAGTTGCATTTGACTTGCCTGAACGCGAGTTACATATATTTACACGTAAAGCTACATATTTTTACACGTAAAGTTACATATTTATACACGCGAGTTACATATTTATACACACAAGTTGCATTTGACCTATCTGAACGCAAGTTACATATTTTTTTAAGTAAAGTTACATATTTTTACACGTAGAGTTACATACTTATACACACGAGTTGCATTTGGCCTGACAGAACGTGAGTTACATATTTTAACACGTAAAGTTACATATTTTTACACGCAAATGTTAATATGTTAAAATTACATAGGCAATACTGGTCTCATTTGAAAGATCATAAAAAATAAAAAAAATTGATATAAATTTTATAAAAATCGGATCAAAAATAAAAAAATTATTAACATTTTTAAAAAAAGGGGAAATAAAAAATAACAAAACCAAAATATACGAACTGCTTCTTCACTCTCACAGGTATATCATGCGCACCGTGGGACGGTTGCATGGTATACGAACT